TGGGGAATTCTGGGAGTTGAAGTCCACCCGTCTTCAAGTCGCCAAGGTTGAGAAACACTGCACCAGAGCGTCTCGGATGGATCCAGGCTCAGTTGACAGACCTCTAGAAAAAAAAAATAACAATCTCTTTGTGTGGCCCCCTGTTCTGTGATTTATACATCTAAATCAAGAAAATAAATAAATATTAAGCGGGCTGACTTTCCATTTTTAAGGCCGCCCACTCGTCAGGTGTTTGGATCAGAAGGTTCGGCAAACTCCGCTGGTGAAAGTTGATTTTTATTTATTTATTACTCCAATCTCGACAGCCGCCCATCTCAAATGTAAGACTCACAAACAATGAGAAACCATATTAAAAACCCCCAAACAAGACCACAACTTACATTTTACAAATCGGGGTGATTATTTTAACCTCGGACGCTGTGGTTCGAAGGGGGGAGCTGCTGCTGTTTTAATTTTGTACGGTGCCCAGAGTCCCTTCTGGGCGATGGGTAGCCGTATGTATTATATTAATCAAATCAATCAATAAAATAAAGCAACGAGTCTGGCCAGGTCCCCAAAGGGCTTACGCCATCGCCAACCGAGGCAAGGATTATGGAGGGGAACAGGATGAACATTTATTGCAAAGGCACCCTCTGTGCATCCCAGTAGATCAACTGCACTAGATTCTGACACAACATCTCCTTTTTACACTCCAAGCCACTTCCCTCCCACCCAAAAATCAAGCTGTTCTGAAACAGACTAAGCCAGGAAACCCGGCCACCCTGCTTGGACCACGGTACCCGGTGCACAGCAGGGGCCAGTCCCACCTTTCCAACAACCCCACCAGCAGAGGGACAAGGGGTCGGTGGCTTGTTCTAACCCCAGCTGGTCCCTCATCTCCTTGAAAGCTTGTCCCCAACCCAGGGGCTGAACCCCAATCTCCGTTCCCGTGGGAGAACTGGAAAAGGACACCACCCAGGCTGGGGGACCCCAATCCCACCTCCCACGACTTGGGTGCCCGAGGCCAGGCATGGCAGTGGCGAGGTGGGAAACCCTGTGAGCTCAACTGGTGACACTCAAGCCCCCCACCCTTAAATCACCCGTCGTTTTCAAAGAGAACAGCTGTTTGGGTAGGTAACCCTGAACCTGCCCAATGTCATCCTGGTTACGTGTCCCAAACCTTGCGGGTGACAATGGAGGGGGGATGAATGACCACCCACCCCCGCCATTAATGGACAGACACGAGTGGGACAAGGTAGAGGAACAAGGGACAAACGGGGGAACAGCCACACCCCCTTTTCTCATCCAGGCATTGCCAAGGACTGGATTAAAAGACGCAGCCGCTTGGAGATAATCACGGGAGGGGGCACCACCGGACCCTCCAATTCACCAGCTGCTGGCAGAGCCGGGGCCCCAGAACCTCTGGACCACCCCAACTTGCGCCCAGGAGCACCTGAATCTGGCTTATGAACAGAGCAGGATGGGGGGGGGATTAGCAGAGAGAAAAATCCAAATTCTGGGGAACAAAGAAATCGCCAAGTTGGAACTCCGGAGCAGAGTGAGAAGGGGAAGGGGAAGAAGACCCTCCCCTGCCATTGCAAAGACAAAGCCTTCCCCTCCCCCCGGCATTTTGGGGAGGGGGAGTGCCCACCGGCCCCCGGCAAGCCCCCTTGGAGGAACGGTGCTCTGCGAAGAAGCCCCCTCCCCGTCCAGCAGCTCTTGTGGGAAGGGGAGGGGAAAGCAGGGGAAGGGGTCGCCCGGCAGGAGCCCACCGTAGGTGCAGTTACAGCAAAAACGGACGATGAGGAGGATCTCCATGGCACCATCGTGGCCGGCTGCATCGGTGGTCCGCCAGCTGTTGGGGAAGCGGCTCCCGAGGCGGCGGCAGCCGGTGGAAGAGAAAGGGGAGGGGGAGGGAGAAGAGGGAGTGAGGGGCTGCCAAACGCTGCGAGCATGCCAAAGAGGGCAGCCCCCTCCTCTTTCTCTCCCCAGGAGCAGGGGAAGGGCTCACCGCCAACACACGCCAGGCAGATCCTTCATCTCGCGGGGACCCCGGGAAGGGAAGGCAGACAAAGGATGGGGACACATCACCTGATAGGCTGAAATACACCCCCTCCCACCACCACCCCACCACCCCAAAACAGGAGAGCAGAGACTGGTTACCTTCCATGGTGACAAAACTGTGGGTCCCCTTCACTTTCAGCTCCTGCAAAAAGGAAAAAATCAGCAGAGGCCACGACAGCAGCTGGACCCCGGAAGGAAGACCCCTGGAGGTCAAGGGGGCCTGCCCCGAAGCGAGCGCATCCAGGGGCCTGGCCCCAGCTGGGGGGTCCAGGCGGCTCTTCCTGGCCTTTCCCTTCCTCATAATTTTCCAGGGAGAAAACTACCTCCGAGCCAGCCCAAGGGAGCATCGGGCGGAGGACGGTTTCTTGAGCGAGCAAGTGCCTCGGAGGGCGTGCAAAGGGGGGCTTGCAGCCACAGCCGAACACGGCTGCCTGCCGCGGAGGCCAAAGGCATACTTGCACGCACATGCACGCATGCACACACCCCTGGGCTTTGGGAAGAAAAGACTTCGAGACAAAAGGCTTCTGGGAGGAGGAACAGGAATAAAAGTGGACTTGCAGCGGCAGAGATAACGGCCCGCTGGACTCCTCTTAAACTTAGGCAAGGCGCCCATTTTGCCCTGCTTGCACTGGAAAAGTCAGAAACGAACACAGAAAGCTCTTTGACCTTGCACACTTACTCTCCCCACATTTTTGCACCCCAGCATTGTCTTGGACCAATAATCCCTGAAGCCCAGCTCTTTGAGCAGGGTACTCAAAAGCAGGCTGAGCGGCCATTTTGGGGAAGGTGAGATAGCTTGCCACGAACTGTGGAAGATCCATTTATTTACGGTGCTGACCGCCTATTGCACAGTCCAAGATTATGTTCTCTCCGCACTGTCCCCTCCCTAGTTCGGACATCTGCGCATGTCAACATGCAAAGCGCATGTTCTGTAATGGCCCCTCCCCAAAGCAAACATCCGTAACATCTGTTATGTACAATTTTGCCTGCTGCATGACAGAGGCCAACAGCTGGTCAGCTGCAAGATATAAATGAACAGCCCGTATTGAAATGGGATTTGGCCACAGACATTCCTTGGGAGATCCATCTTCCTCTACTTGCATTAATCTAGAAAGCGCCACTGAGATCCACAGGAAAAAAAAAAATTCCCATTCAGCCACAATTTCACTAATTCTGACACGTTCGGGCTTGTCATCTGCTGAAATTCGGAAACTGGAGCATTAACTCACGTGGTTTGGGCTTGGCCTGTTCTTGCTGTATTGGGGACTGGAATTCACATGAAATCCTTGATTTTTGATTTAGGAAGGGACCAAGAACATGGGCTTTTTACGCATGGGGGACAATCGAACCAAACGTTTTGTAACACTGGAGAAGAGTAATGCACAATATCCTCTTTGTGAACATTTGCTATGAATCTTTTTTTAATAAGGGACAAGCATTTTGAAGCAAATCTGTTAAACGTTTATGGCATCTCTTGTTCAAGATACCGATTTTTAATGCCTTTGTTTTGTTTTACACTTTAAAATGTTATACCTCATTATTGTTATTACTGCTATATCTTTGTTTAACAACGAGCTTTTTTTAAAAAAAGGAGGAGGAGGTTAATCTCTCATCGCCTGTTCAGTCTCACGGCTTGTTATAATGGGATTTAGCAGTGGGTGTCAACAGTCTTCACTGAAACTCACCTCTGATATTTTCTGGAACTGAATGTTATTTTGGCTGCATTTTTCAGCTGTCTCCAGTGCAATTTTATAGTTGTCCACAAAAGCTTTGTAAACCCCCAGCTGGGAAGCCTGTTGTGGAGAGAAAGGGTATTGACTATGGAGAAAAACTCCATAATTGCCAAAGCCATCAGAAGTTGATTCCCTCAGATCCACTGGATCTTGTTCCTTTTTTTGCTCATCTCTACGGTTAAAATCTCACATCCAAAAAGTTTTGGCAGGCCAAAAAGGACTTAGTCCAGCAAACTCCAGATGTGTTGGATTAGAGCTCCCATCATCCTCAGCCTGCCCACCTGCAGTCTGCAGAATCTGGGGTCTGCAATCCCAGCTCACCCAAAGGGCATCTGTGATTTATGCCACAAAACCACCGTGTAATTTGGAAAACTGTATCTGCTCAGGTCTGCACGGGCCACCCCTTGCCCCAAAGGAAGAGGGGTTCAGGGGCTCCCTGAAAAAACAATCATGATAGATAGATAGATAGATAGATAGATAGATAGATAGATAGATAGATAGATAGATAGATAGATAGATAGATAGATAGGAGAAACCCAATTCTGTATGCAAAATGCTTGGCTAGAGTTGGATACCGAGGGGCAACAGAGATGCTTGGAATCTCCTCCTTCTCTTCCTGGAATTGTGCACTGCCCCCCCCCCCCCCATATTCCACTTTCAAGCCACTCTTTCTGCTAAAAAGTTCCCCCAAAAGTTTTGCCAAAAAGGGCTTTTTCAGGCAAGTTCTGATTCGGCAAAGGGAGCGTCTGCTGCTTCCTTGCCCAGCAGCTCTTCCAATATTCAACAGGCAGGACCTGCTTTCATCTTCTCTCCCCCACTACCTGCCCCAGGTAAGATCCTACCCAACATGACTCCTAAGACAGGATCTTCTTCCCACTCCCTTTTCCCACGTAGCTTCATCTCCTCGGTGGGCACTTCAGCATCTGGGCCCCTGGCTGTGCAATTCTCTCCCCTGCCCCACTTGGCTCCGTGCATCCATTTAAGAAAGATTTGAAAAAGTGTTTATCCAGTAAAGCAAACCAACTGGTGGAAAGGGTTGTGAGCAACGTGTTTTATGTAAAACTTATTAGCAAAGTTAGTTGCTGGGTCAGCTGAGGATTTTTATCATTGCATGAGCAGGAGATGGTAAATATATCTCGATGTTCACAGATTTTATTCCTCTTGTATAATTTTAACTGCTGTTTATTCTTATTTCTTCACATTTTTATTGTGGTTGGACACATCCCAGCGGAGGAGCGTTATAAATAAAATTTTGTTTGTTTCTCTGTCTGTCTTCCTTGTAAGGGTGGTTTCTAGCCACCAGCAATGCCACCCCGGAAATGTCCAGTTTGTCGGCACCCTTCTTAAGGGTGGCACTCAGCCTTTCTGACATAAATCCCACTTTTGTAAGAAAAGGTCTTCAGAATTTCAGGGCCCTGTGACAAGCAAGAGGCAGCGTCTGCAACATGACATCTCATCTCCACGTAAAGGACCTGCAGTCGCCAAACAGGGGAAATTCTTTAATTAACACCCCTGTCCCCAAGAGAGGGCCCTCCAAATAGATTCCATTATCCATAGCCGACAGAAGCTGGCGATGGGTCTGATAGTCCAAAACGTGGCAGATGGCATTTCATTTGGAAAGCTGGAGTGCATCCTTCCAAAACCAGAATAACAAGAGTTCGCATACATATTTTCTTAACATAGCCCCAAACAGAAGAACGTCCAGCCCGATGAACAGCTCAAGAGATTATCCCAAAACAGCTAATCAGAAAGGTACCAAATGGTTGATTTGATAACATAAGTCTATTTTATAGCTTAGATTATCTTTCTTCCTGCCAAAATAGCATTTTAAAAGTATTAGCCTTTCCCTTTAGAAATTCCCCTTAGAAATTCCCTTTCTAAAGCAAAAGGCTAATATTTTTAACTGTTATTTTGACAGAAGTTAATTCTGTGCATTTGTTTGGGAAGATGCATTGCTGTTGTAAAACACTTTGGAAACCTGCTTTGAAAAACAAGGTGCAAATATTTAAGGCTAAACCCTAAAACCCTACCTAATCAAAGGAACAGAAAATCCTGACAAACATTCAGGTCAAGCAACACCTAGAGCAGTGTTTCTCATCCTTGGCCATTTTAAGGACTTCAGAGTTGTGGACTTCAGCTCCCAGAACTCCCCAGCCAGCATGCTTTAAGATGTGCAGACTTCAACTCCCAGAATTTCCCAGCCTGCATGCCTAAAGGCAGCTTTTTAATCTGCATTTAAAAGTTCTGTCTGATTCCACTGGGAAAAAAATATGGGAATCACATCAACCATGTTTCTGATTTCAATGGGACTACCAGGGTGTTTTCAGCAAGTTCCCCAAAAATACCAAAAATATTTATTTGGTGATTCCCTGTAATATGGCCATGCATATATGTTCTGGATGCGGTTGCTCCTTGACTGAAAAACTGGGTAAACATGTGCCCCCTCCTTCTTCCCAAATTCTGATAATATTTAGACTAAACCAAGGCTGAAGGGCGGGGGGGGGGCGGGATTTCCCACTCTTAATAAGTGACCTCATTTCTCTGAATTAATAAAAAACCCATATCCAAGGCTGGCAGCCAAAACTTTCAGAGGATGAAAAGAAGAGAAAGTGGGCCAGTCTCTCCCCACGCAGAAGCTTAGTCCAGACAAACTCTAAAACAAAACTGGCCATTTATGTAAAAAAAAAAAAAAAAAAAAGACAGAGGAACAACTCATTTTTGCTCATCAAGGGGAAAGATGGTTCTTCAAATCCTTTAGCCATCACGACTATTTCCCTGAGTTCTCAAGTAAAAGGCGTAAAGACATTAGCTGTTCTCCATCAATATATTTTCAGAGGTAGACTGCCTTAGGACCTGGAAGATCTATTAACAAAGCTAATGGCTGGGTTCACATACTCTGGCTAAGCACAAAGTTTGCACCCAGATGTGATCTCCTTTCTCTGCTAGGCACACTAAACCAGAAACTAGCCAACTACAGTTCAGGGTACTATGTCCTGGGAAGCCTAGGTTAGTTGGATAAACCATGATTCATTTAAACATGAGATGTATGAATGCAGCTGGAGTGATTCTGCACACGAGGACAGAAGCTCGGCACACTGAACAGGGGCGAGGGTCGCACAGCCAGTTAATCTGTTTTTTAACCATGATTTACTGAATCAGCCCTAATGGGCTGGGTTCACACCGGACTGAGCTAAAGCAAACGAACACCGCATTATGGGTTAGAGCCAGGTGCGAAGCCGATCAATGTTTCCTTTATCCAATGGCGAGGCAGAAAGCCACGGATTGCAGAGGCAACCGGGACGTGGTGTTATGGCCCGAGTCACCCACCACGCAGCTCCACGGTTATCAGGGCTGCCTCCACGTTGACCATCCCCGACTGGCGCGATTCGCCCATTGCGCTGGGCTGCAAATCACAGCCAGGGTTCGGTTCAGGCCAGAGCAAAGCCCAAACTAAACCCGCTGGGGCAGATCTTGGTGGGCTGGGGGAGCCAGACCCCCCTGCACCCGTGAGCACTTAGGGGGACCCTTCCGTGTGGGGCAGAAGGCTGCCGAAAGAGCCGGTGGGGCCAGGAACCGGCAGGAGGCATGAGCCAGACTCACCAGCTTCTGGGTTTTTTTTCAAATATCTGTCTGTCTGTCTGTCTACCTTCCTACCTACCCACCCACCTGTTTACCTACGAACCCACCTACCTACCCACCTATTTACCTATCTACCTACCTATGTATCTATTTATCTACCTACCTAATTTACCTCCCTACCTCTCTATGTATCTCTTTATCTCTTTATCTCTTTATCTATCTATCTATCTATCTATCTATCTATCTATCTATCTATCTATCTATCTATCTATCTATCT